GGAGTAGAGAGGAAGTAAAAATCAATCCAGATTTTTTTTTCATCCAAATTTCTTCAACGATAACATATCGTTTGAGTCTACGGTTTTTAGAGGAAGTATAAGGCTAATCTCTGAGCAGTTTAAGCAGTAATCCATTGAGTTTACTGCATGCCCCTCATAGTAATTTAGACTCCCATGAAAAACTTCTGCAACCAACAGAAAGCAGCCCGTTTCACAAATATCTTCTAGATTCAGCCTTCTTTTACGTCTCCTTAACCTTTTTGACATGAAATTTCCGAAACGCAAAACTGACCATACCAGTTTTGCTTTCATACGCCTTTTTATGATAGATTTACTAACCAGCTGAGGACTGCGAGTGTTTGCTAAGCAAAATTTTACAACCGTTTTAGGAGTTTTTTAGAACAACTTATTTCGCTAAACAATTATATAATGTACATGTAGATATTATATTCATTGTCCTTAATATCCAAAAAAAATTTCAAGTCATACATCAGGCTAAAAAATAAATCAAGAATTCGAGACTATACAAAGAAAAACAAAAAAAGAAAGACAGAAAAGAAAGAAAAGGGCAGAAAAGATGACGAAAGAAATGTAAGAAAAAAAAAAAAGTTGGAAAAGATTACTTTTTTTATTTTTTTAAAGATCAAAATTATTCCCATAACAGAAGTTACAGTAGTCGAGAAATAAAGCAAACTATTTGTCGACTACTTTAGATCAATTTCTTCTTAAACAAAAGCAAATTTCGTTTGCTAATAAACATAAAACATTTTTTTTACATCATCAATTAAATTTTCCCACAATTTTTAAAAATTTATTAAAGAATTTTTTTTTGGTAAAAAAATTTCTTTCATTTCTTCTCCCTTCTATTTTCTTGCAATCAAATGAACTCAATTAAATATTTTTCTTTCATATACCTTTCCTTTTCTTTAGTTTTTCCTCCTGTTTTTTAAAAACAAAATATTCACCCTTTAAAAACTAGCGGCTACCCATAACTTTCTCAAACCCCTGAATATACTTTAACCAACTAACTATTCCTCCCTTTTTTCTTCATCTCATCCATAATAACTCAAAAGAACATTAAAATTATTTACAACTAAGCAAAAAATTATTCTAAACAGTTCAATAGATTTATCATCAAAGTTTTACGAATTTTAAAAACAAA